TAATATTTATAATATTTTGCAAAGAAGAACAGGAAAATGTGCAGATGCTCAACGTGTCAAAATTGTCTCCTCGGTGACCTACTTACGGCAGATTTACAGTTGTGCCACCCTTTTTTAATTTGTTGATATCTTATTTAACTGCAAACCAAGGGTGGTTCAGTGACTTTGACATTTCTTTGTATTCGTCCTGACTTGTGCTTCTCAGTCACTTTGTCACAGAGTTACTTGGTGTGTTCCTTTGTCCTCATGGTGTGTGTTTAATCATAATACTAACTGATTAAAAGTTGAAAGTTAATTAAAGAGTTGATCCTTGTAAAAACAGGAACAAATCCTTATTTACAGATCTGATACTTTTGAAAACCTTCATTGATGTGTGAAAATTTGTTTATCATATTCATCATATGTGTTTCCATTAAGGCAGACTTACATGTTTTGTGCTTCCTCAGGGTCTTTATAAAGGCATTAGACAGAAACACAAGGAGGATGAGAGAGAGCAAAACAAAGCCAATGCCGAGGATCAAGTTAACGGAGTCTCTGCCCTCTCTGTGTGTCTCTGGTGAAACATCAAATCAGAGTCAAGTTAGTTCAGCTCAGCTACATACACTGTCATCAAGCAAAAGCATTTATTTTGCACCCACTTACCGCAGATTCCCTCTTTCTCATTAAAATGTGTGTTATCAGTGCATAAAGGCTCGCACTGATATGAATACTCTATCAACCCGTCACTCTGGAGACTGGCTGCAACAGACAGATAAACAGTCAGACAGATAGATAGATAGATGAGTCCACCACCATGTTTTCTATCAACAATTAATTCTCATTTTTAGTGTAATATTGTCCCAAATTTGCTCCAGACTTAAAGTTTATTTGCAATATAGTAGCCAGAGCATGAATTAATGATCCCCTGTTTTTAGTTGGCAAATGTTAGCATGCTAATGCGTTAAACAGTACAGTGTGGGAACTATAGCAGGGCTTTCGGGTGAAGCATTAATCATGGAAACATTAGCTGCAAGCATGTGGCCTTATTGCTTTATGTCAGCATATAATAATCAGTTGATCACATAAAACCTTCACATGGGTATTGAAACCAAACATCACAGCTCCCCGCTCACGCATGTGGTGCATATTGCCAACTAAAGGCGGGTACAGTGTAGTCTGCAGAGTGATGTACTATATGTTTATCAGCACAAATAACCTATGGGTGGGTCAAATAGGAAATCAGCCAATAAACAAACATTTGTGTGAACATTAAATCAAAATCAAGTCGAGTCCTCATCAAAAATGGTTAAACTTACTCATCACAGATGAGAGCAATAATTTCCCACTCATTATCATCAACCAATTTTACATCAATAGTAGCCTAATTTTATGCATTATCCATGATAATGAAGATACAAAGAAAATAGAAATGCATGGCAAAAATAACATACTGTCAATATGTTGGAGACCCCCTAAATCTTAGCAAATCATGTTTATAGGGGAGCTCCTGTCTTATTCCTGAGTTATGAGAACGAGAATCACCCTGATGATTACCCAATCACAGCATATTCACCTTTGTTTTAATGAGACAGATCAAGACAATCAAAGCAGCAAGAAAATGTGTGTGTAAATGGTATAAGCAGACTTTGTGTGCTTTTTTTTTACATCTGTGGGAGCACTTTGTCTGTCATGTTTGTCTGGCTACAGGCTACAGGCCTGTTTCCACCAAACGCTTTCGGTATGGTACCTTTGGAACCAAAAGTACCCTTCAGACATGGTACCTAGACATCTGTGTTTCCACTGCATGCCCTACCATTAAATGTGGGCGGGGTTGTTGTCACTCACTGCTCTGTGCAGCACTTGCTGTATTTCCTTATTATCAGTGACACAGGTGAGCCAGCTCTCCCTGACTCCCCTGCTGTTCGCACTCCAGCATGTTAACATTGTCATTGTGAACACATTAGCATGCTGACACAGAGTGTTCCAGGAATGAGTCCTAAAACCGAGAAATGAGTGAGTATTTTAGCACTCCAGTTCCCTGGTCTCAGAATCAATGGGTTTTTCGAATGGGTTTTTGGTTAAATGCCTAAAATAGGGTCTGAGGTTAACACAAGCTTAAGAGACTTTCAGCTTTTAGGTGGTTGCCGAACATGGCTTTACAGCTTTGTTGTGGTAGGGATGGTTATTCATGCGACCATGGTGTAGTAAGTTTATAGCCCAACGTTAGCTTTTTACTTCTGGCGATTGCATTTAGTCTTAAGTTATAAGTCTAAAGTATAAGTACATCTATAGTATCTGTATAAGTTCATTTGTGAAGATTATCTTGCTGGACAAAACATAGGCTTTTTGACAGGGGAACCAGGGCGATGGTAACTCCTGGTCGACCTATAGAAAAACATCATTCCTTGTGCACTCTATTACCTTAACATTTGACCTTTAGTGCAGCCTCAGAGAGCCACCAGCATGACTGCGGACTCTTGCTCAAGTCAAACCACAGCTGACACAACTGGTGAAAAGTCTTGTGATGATAAGTATGTGTTGTCTTCCCCTTATCGAATGCTCCCAAAACTCAACATAGATATTAATGTGTGATCATGGAGCAGGAACAGTCAACACTTCTTGCATTACCTGAGACTTCTAAACACTTTGGCAGACACCTTGGGGCTTCCCTGACATTATGAACACCTCTCATTTTACTCATTAAAAGTCCAAGCAGTCACACAGGACCACTTTAACCCATATTGGTGTTTGAGTGACAGATGTGACAACAATTAGGGAAAACCTTGTGTTAACTGAGATATTAATAGATTTCAAAGTATTGCATGTATACTCAAATATCATTTTTAAAGTCTGCATTAATGATGTGGCTTTGAATTAGATTTACCAGGTGAAAAAATGGGTTGGGTGCATTAATCCAGCCCACAGTTCTAGTACATAGCTGTGTCTAACCCACATTTAATTTCCATTGTGCACCTCGACACCCACAGACAATACTAATCGACATGTTAAAACCAGATTTGTGCCAGCTGCAGTTTATTTTCAAAGCACAGTTTATTTCTTTGATGTATAAAAACCTCACCTGTTCTCATCGGTTTCTCCCCACTGACGCATTTGTTTTCCTCACACTTTGAACAGACATTGTTGGAGCACAGGAAACCAGGGAGGCACGAACAGTTCGCATTTGTGGTCGGTGTACATTTCTCAGCATATTCTAAAGACAGTCAAGAATTCAAACCACAGGACTTTCAGATGACAACAGTGTGCTTTTCTTCTGTCTTCTTTATCCACTATTTCACTAGAGAGCCTCAAAGAGCATCAAAATCAGATCTTTCATCAGTAACTTCAGCCTTACTTTGTTGACACGTCCTGCATTTCTCACATCTGTCAAACATGTTGGATTGGTCGGCGAAGTAGCCCTCCTTGCAGGGTCTACAGACGGTCTGCTTGTGCTCTGAGCAGAACTCAGTCATATATTTACCTTCAAAGTAAGAAACAAATCAAATCAGTCACTCTCAAGATTATACATAACATTCACTCACATCTGATTAGATGAAACAGATAAACATATTGATATAAAATCATACAACAGTACAACATTCTATGTAAGTGTTTTAAATATTAATCATGTGTTCTACCTGGGGGACACAGGTCACAGCATCGACCATCCACCTCATTCTGCCCATCACCACAGCCTGCGGCGCGTCCTATAGTCCAAATACTCAGTAGGCACAGGGCTGCCAGGGGAGAGCTCAGAGGAATCATTATGACCAGTGCTCAGCTTGTGTCTTCAGTGTTTTATATTGGCTGTTTGGCTGACGTCAGATGCGAGTGTGGTTTACTCGCCGACACATTGTGTGAGAGAGATGCTACGTTCAGGAAGTGAAAGACCACTTGCACATGATTCAACAGCAGCATAAAGTGAATGACAACAGTAAATACTTAAGTTTTTGTATTGTCTAGATGCCCCTTCTGATTTTATTTTATTGTAAAATTGAATTTTTTATAAATCTAAATTAGGGCTATGGCTTTCACGAGGGGAGCCATGTGTTTGTTCATTAAGAGCAGACAGTATAGGTGATGCGTATAGGTGGGACAAAACATTACGAAACAACATTATGGATTTGATAGAGCACATGCTGTCGTTGGAGGTGTCATTTCAGGTTCTGTTACATCGAACACTTCTGCAGAAACTGTGGATAGAGCAGTGGAGGTTAAACCACCAGACTCAATAAGTGCTACAGAAACATGGTCAGACTCTTGAAACTATGATGAGTGTGTGATGTTGTGTGATGTGAGTGTGTTCCTTTGTCCACGTGGTGTATGTTTAACTGTGATACTGACAGATTTGGTCACATAGAAGCAGAGATGGGACCAGGTCATTGTTTTTCAAAGCACGAGTAAGTCTCAAGTCTTTGGAATCAAGTCCTGAGTCAAGTCCCAAACCAAGCCCCAAGTCCTTAACTTTGAGTTAACAAGTCATAATGCACTCCTCTCCAAATGTAATGCCATTTTGACAACAGAGTAATAAACTTTGCAAAATCAGTGCTTCTCAATATTTGCATTTGTTGTTGTCCTATTGTATTTAACTCGTCTCATATTGGAAAAATGTCCATAACTTTCTTTTTCCAACGGTAATTTCTGTAAGACGGCTCTTCATTTAAAGGGATATTTTATGTGTCTGCATGGTTTATGTTTGATGTCTAAATTAAATAAAAAGATCAACATTAAGATTAGATCACTCAGGAAATATAAGAAAACGAACTGATTTAAAGCACAGTTTTAAAATAACATATATTTGGGGGAAGGAATCACATATTTTCAAGTCAAAAGGCCCAAAACCAAGTGTTGTCACAAGTTATTGGTGTGAAAGTCTGAGTCAGGTTGCAAGTCTTTTTGATTTTGTTGAGTCTAAAGTCATCAAATTTGTGACACTAGTCTGACTCGAGTCCACTACTCTGCATAGAAGTACGGGTCCACTCATCTTTGATTTACAGTGTTGACTACTTTTTGTCCTTGAAGGATCCTCTCCAAAATAGCCGACAAAAATAGCGGCACAACATAATTTTTAAAGTGAAAATCCTTCCTGCGAATGTGGAGATAAGGTTTCACTTGTGTCTACTTGTTTACTGCTGAAAAGCTCATCAAGGTTTATATGAGAGAGAAAGTAAGTTATGCAAACTACTGAATGTGGTTAAAGAAAACAGGAGGAAGACATTTAAAGTGTTGTGCTGAAGGTTTTGATTGTGGGTTTCAATGTGGATCTGTTTCCAAGTTGGTCAAATGCCAGGTTTTTTTAAGGGCTGAATGTAAAGAGTGTTGAATGTTTTATCTACAACCTGTCAGCTGAATGACATGTGATTGATCTACCAAAACTTGAGTTGTGTTTTTTTTTAGTTCTTTGACTTGAATCTTTTACTTTAAGTTCTTACATTTATAAGAGTAATTCATGTATTCTTCTGTTTCTTCTATATTCATAACATTGAAACATCCATAGATGTAATTTGCATAGTTTGAAACTGGACACTGATTAAATGACATCAAAGCCTTCCAGCAGTCCTTTTCTGACTTGTGCTAGTCCACAAGTAGCACCTGATCACTCCTAACAGACAAGACTGCAATTGTAGCAGCACAAACCCTTAGAAAAAAATATATTTTCCTACTTATCTGTTATTATTCAGTATTTGGTATTAGTCAGAAAGATGTATTTGCTGAGGCACTGAGACATCCACTACTGTGTGATAAGTGGGATTATATCTCTGTAGGTAACATGCATCGATCTATATTCTTTTATCTGCACCAGGTTGTAGTGGTCAAGATCAAATCTACAAAGCATATACTGGAACATGGAGTAGTTTTATAGTTTTGGAAATTGGGGGAAAAATCATTCATTAAAGCAAGCTCAGCTCATATGTCACTTTGCTGTGTGCCTATGTAAATGAATGGCGTTAAACATAAGACACTAAACCAGAACTGATCCTTTTTTTTAAGCTAAATGACAACGAACATCAGTAATCATTAAGCCATACAGTGAACGTGACATTAAGAAGCCAAGTAACTGAAACATACCATATTCTGAATATGACTCAGTTTGGTTCCTGGAAAACCCGTAACCTGCAGCAGTGGCTCTCAATTTGTTTCATGTTAAGGACCCCTACATTAAAACACATTAGGTCACAAAACCCCATTTGATAAAGATTTCGCTCCAGGGACCTCCATCTGAAAAGACATTGGTGGTTAGTTATGATTAAGAGCAGGGGCCAGGTGCATACAGGATGTGTATACACAAAAACCACGCGTACGCCTTTTCCCACACATGTGCACACCTCACGAATTCTTCAAACCAGGCGTACACACGGTTTTACTCGAAACAGCTGTGGGTGATATGATACGGACAAGATCTAATGAGTGATTGAGGGGCACAAGTATCAATATACAAACAGGTGTTTAAGGGTGTTTCCAAAAACATTTATTGCAAACAGTGGGTGTGAATATGACGCTCATGTCCGACAACTTATAAAACAGAATCAGGTGTATGCATGGCTTTATAAATCTGACATGCACATTTCTGCCTTTCTGCACACACACACTGTTACTGTCATGAATCTACAGTTTTATGCATCTGGCCCCAGAATTCTAGTCGTCAACTCCGTTTGGGGTGATAACTCTGAAGGAAGTGAAACCTGTGATCAAGGTATCACTCTTATGACGCTAAATAGTGAAACGTAACTATTCCCCATTTTTCAGGGGACCCCCAGAATCCACCTAACCACTGGTCTACAGGGTGAGCACACAATAAAAGCAGCAGCTGTGTAATATAATCTTACTATATAATGACAAAAACACTGTCTGTGGGTGTGTCTGTGTGTCTGTTCCACGTTTTTCTCCTCACTGACTCAGTCAATCCATGTGAAATTTGGCACAGTGGTAGAGGGTCGTGAATGAAGCACTATTACATCAATTGGCCAAAGGGGGGCACTATAGCAACCGATTGAAATTGCAAACTTTGAATGGGCATATCTCATGCTCCGTATGTCGTAGAGACATGAAACTTTGCACAGAGACGCCTCTCCTCATGAGGAACAAATTTGCCCCAAGAACCCATAACTTCCAGTTTATAGATTTTACGCCTTTTGAATTTTTTGAAAAACACTTAAAATCGATCTCTTCCTAGGAAGTTTGACCGATCTGCATGAAACTCGGTGAACATAATCTAGGGACCAATATCTAAAGTTCCCTCTTGGCAAAAGTTGGAAAACTTACTAAAACTGAGCTTCTATAAGGCAATGAATATTGCAGAGGGCGTGGCTCATCACATAAAGGTGTATAACATCTCAAGGGTTTCACCGATCACCACGCAACTTTGTAGGCATATGACCACACATAATCTGAGGGGACACCTCCATTATTGACCCCATCAAACAAAATGGGGGCGCTAGAGAGCTAATTTCTTATCTAGGCCTAACCGCCATATCCATTTTTACTAAACTTGGTAGATATGTAGAACAGGACGTCTCAAGGTGACTGGAGAAATTTAACTCTAATTGGCAACTGGTTGGTGCTATAAAAATGGCTAAAATGCGACCGATCTCTGTGGCTCCTCCTGTGGACCAATGTTTGGGTTTTTTTTTTTTTTTTCCTAATTTTGGTATGACTAAGTCATGGTATGGTATGCTGTATATAATCACAGAAACTGTCAGTGTGTCATTCTGTCAGTAAGTCATTCTGTCTGTCCCACGTTTTTCTACTCACTGACGTGGTCAATCTATGTGAAACTGCACATAGGCATTGAGGATTGGTATAGGTAGAAGGTGACAATGCTACCAATGGGTATGGACTAGTATAATTGAATCTAAAAACAAATCCTTGTACTACTAACCCCACAGCATGGAGGGGTTTCCTCAAGGTTTCAGCAGCAACACAGAAAACCACAGATATACAGTTATCAGTGTGAATAAGGGTTCAAACAACTACGTACTGTATATATATTTATAGTCCACTCAAAGAGTCAAATGCTGTGAATATTTCAAAGATGGTAACCCTGGAATCCATTTTTCTTCTTGTTCGTTTAGTTTTTTGGTTTGTTTGTTTGTGAATTTTCACACTGGGCCCACTGAAAGCCCGAGGTCACAACCAAAACCTGAAAAGTGTGAAGTGTGGTTGAGCTTGCACTGGGTCTTCTGTTTGTTTGCAGCACACTGTGTTGTGTGTAGCCCCCCTGTGTAGAGTAGGCAGCCTCAGCATGTGACTGTGCATACTAATTATGTCACTTGCATGATGCAGGAGGGACCTGTGCATTATGATGTATAAAGAATTTTACTGCTGTCACCTTACTGTAGGTGCAGTGTGATTGGGTTTGTTGACATTTAGTGCAGGAGAGGTGGAGTTTCCTGGCAAATGCAACACGGTAGTCCTGAGATGATGAGTAAAAAATTACAGAAAATGAACAATCAACAATAAAAGAAATGATTAAATTATTTCTCAACTTGTAAGATGTGAGAATTGGTCGTTTTTATCTGTAATTTCATTGCACACTGAATGTTTTTGGGTTTTGTGCAGTCCTGCAACCTCGGGCTAATGGAACATTTTATATACCACATAATAGATTAATCATAACATAATCAAAAGACTGATTAAAAACAATCATTGTCTCCACAGAAACACTGATTAAAATATCTCTGATTATGTGTCCACACTGACTCATTCTGAAAGCACACATAAGTAGGTGATAAATAGTGACGCATGACTTGTCCTGTACGTTTTTA